GAGTGATACTAGCAATCACAGCATTGTAAGAGGGGGACAGTTGAACCCGGAGGCCTCCACCCCTGTTTAACGATGGACGGTTTCTTTTCACAAAGATGGCCTCCTTTACTCCTCTCTCAAACTATCGTTCCTCTCTGTCCAGGATGTGAACATCTTCATCCCTGAAAGAGTGACCTCTGGTTTGAGAGAGGAGTAAAGGAGGCCATCTTTGTGAAAAGAAACCGTGGAAGCATATGGTTGGAGTTGAGGACCTTGCTCAAGGGCCCAGAGTGGGTCAAATGAGGGTGGAGACATGTGTGGGTGCTTCTCCAATCCCACCCACATTTTGTTGTTGTCGGTACCGGGAGTTGAACCAGCGATCTTCTAATCATAAGCCCACCTTCGCCCTTCCCACACGCTTGCAATATTCTAAACAATGTTTCATTCAACCTTTAATTAAACAGGTTAGTCCCATTGAGCCACGAGGACTCATTTACAGTTTCTAAACTCTAAACGCTCTAAAAGAGCACAGCATGTCATGATCTCCTCTCTCTGCCACCTGCCAGTGCTCTAGGCCACGCCCACTTCTCCGCTGCAGAGAGGAGATCACAACACGCTGCAGGAGGGAGCTTCTCCCAGCACATGTGGGCTGCACGCAGGTGCAGCAGGTGCTAAATAATTTAAAATAAATGATTTTAAATTTAAAAAATCCACGCCGATCTTGCAGCTCATCCATCAATCAGCCAATTGAGTGTCATGTCCAATCTTACTTTGAAAAAGCGCAAAAGTCAAACCGCAAAGTAGCGAGAGACTACAGTATTAAAAATAAACTACAGAGAAGTGTGTTAGTAATCTTTGATCTTAGTGGAAGACCAATACTTTTACAGATTGATGATTTTCTGATTGAAGTAAAGTTCTCACTTAACTTAACAAAGTTGAACGCCTGATAAAATGTTGAAAAATAACTAATTCTTGTTTTTATGACTTTACACTACTGATGTCATGGAGGTATGATCCGGTCTAAGGGGTATGCATAGACCTAGGCCAATCCTTCTAGCCTAAGCCCCTTTAACCCCAGGTGTAGTCCAGACTGGGGGTAGACTATGGCCTTTACTCTGGTCCTTTAGGTCTTCAAGCTTCTGCGGTTTGGACATTTGTCCTGACGTCCTCCTTTCTTTGTATGAGCTCACATTTAAGACTACATTTTTCCTACGTGGAAGAAAGTAGTAATGGTCTCAAAGGATTCTAACAGTACTGCCTCTGTGCCAGACGTCAGGGTGTCATACGTAGGATCACTGTTTGGCAACTTTTAACTAAACGCTCAGCTGCTAATCCTAACCCTGATATCTGTATTGAATAAGCAAATTGTTACCATCTTTGTGGACATCATTGCAAATGTCTGCATTTTGTAACCTGCTGATAAAGCTTTAAATTCTGACTCAAATAGCTGAGCTTAAAATGTGGTCACTTTTCTTCTTAAATGCTGTGGGATTTTGTAAATATTGGGCTCGGGCCAAACAAATGTCCTCCCTGAACCGTTCACATGCAGACATACCACACAACCGAGCTCACACCAGGGTCAGAGATTTATGTCCAGAATACTCCCTGCAGCAAACTGTTTTCTTAAAGTTTTCTTTTCAGAAGATATTAGAAATTAGACTCAAAATCTTATCTTTTACATGTAAAAATGTAAAATTTAAAAAATGGTAAACACTAAATATTAAATTGCACCTTCTCTGGTTCATTAGCCTTCAACAATATTTTCCTTAAAGCCAGGTCAAAGGTCAAGGCTCAACAAGAAGTGACCAACCATATATGCTTTTAGTTAATAGTTCAGCTGAGTGCTGCTGTCGTAGAGTACATGGCATATTTAACTTTTTTAAGTCAGAGCTCAGATCTTCTCAAGTATAGTTCTGTCACAGAGACAGGAAGGAGGACCTAACACGAGATTTAGAAGTAAACCAAACTTTATTCTTAAAAAAAAAATAAAAAGCAATCTACTGATACAGCGTTACAAACAGGCACAAAGAAATCCAAACATGACGTAGAGACGCAGAATGCATCACAGAGAGGTGAGCTCAGAGAAACGAGGAAATCAGGAGCAACTGTGCTAAATGAAACTGGGCTCAGGTGAGAGCAGGCGTGGCAGGACCGAGGAGCAGGATCCACTCAGATGAAGAATAAGAGAGTGGCTAAAAACACGGTGGAACAAAAAACTGTAAGGATCTGAACCAAATCAGGTAAAATCACAACAGAAGGGTCCTAAAACACAGGAAAAATGAAACTAACAAGCAGTACACCCATGTCCCCATCACATAAAGATTTGAATAGTGAATGTTTGCAGTCTTCCAAATAAGTGTTGTTTTTCTAGACTTGTGTTGAAGAAGGAATGTAAGCAAACCTTAATATTTTCAGTGAAAGATGCTGGATAGGAGTTACACTGTGTAAAAGGACAGAGGAAGGTTTTATTGTCTTGATCGAGGCAGCACAGAGTGAATTTTATCCACCACCAGGTACAATGGAGGAGCCAGGGGGTGATGAATGGTGGCCTTGGCCACCATTGGCCATCTTTGGCCACCCCAAACATTTAAGGAAACTGTACTTTTATGTATAATATATTTGTATGCCTAGATGAAGCTATATACCAAAATGAAAGTCAGCACATTGCTTACTTAAGGTTAACATCTATACACATATGGTGACAGCCATCTCTGTTTCAGATGTGGCCACTCAGTTTTCCAAAGGAACCTTACTTATGCCTAGATGTAGCCACATGCCACAATGGAAGTCTGTACTTCAATTTTTTAAGTTATCCAGATCACAACGTACATGGACGGATAAAACATAAACCAATCTCTTCCATTTTGGTGTGTGGCATTTGTGTGTGTGATCTCTTCCATGTGTGTGTGTGGGCGGGGTGTAAACCAGCCATCCCGATCATTTGAGGAAACTATGCTTTCTAATTTTCCTGTTACTTAAAATTATGGTTTCCTGAAGTAATTGGGGTGGCCATAGATTAATCTACGGTTGCCAAGACCACCATTGGACTTCAATGTACCAATTGTTCTTTAAAGGGCGGCTGTGGCTGAGTGGTTAGAGCAGTCGTTCTCCGATGCAAGAGTTGGGGGTTCGAATCCACCAGCAGTCAAAGTGTCCCTGGGCAAGACAATGAAACCCTTGTTGCCTCCGATGTGTGTCCCATCGGTGTATGAATGTGATAAAGCACTGATTAGTCTCTTTAGAATGATTTGTTCAATTAGCTTTGTAGAGTGTTGTATGAATGGGTAAATGAGGCACAGATTGTGTTGTAAAGAGCTTCGAGTATCTCAGTAAGATAGAAAAGCGCTAGATAAGTACAGTCTCTTATATTCCACGACAGATGCAGAGAGTTATAAACTGACTTTTGCCTGACACAGTGGTCCAAGCAGGTGGTCAGTCATATTTTAAAATGTGACAAAGTTCTCTAAGAACAGACGGGAATCAAAAAAACTTAAACTGCATTGCAACACAACAAACGTCCACCCCTGGAAAGATTGCAGTCCCCGTAAACTATTTACTCCTCCTATCTCTAATATTTTTTTAGGAAGTGATGGAAAGGCAAATTTTGTTCTCCTGACAATGCCTCTAATATTTTTCAGGGCACAAAATATATTTATTATTTTAGAGGGAAGCTTTATTCTTTTAACAGG